ACATATAACATACAACATGTTTTGAGATGAACGTGGAAGTGGATAAATAAATAAGTGGATAAATAAATAGCGTAGTATGTATCAATAAATAACGAGGAAACGTATCAATAAATAACAGAAAAACATATCGATAAATAACGGAGAAACGTATCAATAAATAACAAAAAACATATCGATAAATAACGGAGAAACATATCGATAAATAACGTTTAAAACAACGAGTAAATAAATAACATATATATGGGTAAGAGGATAAAAAATTGGTGTCAAAAGGATAAAAAATAAAGTAAGAGTGTATAATGTGACCAATAAAGGTATAAACAGGTGAGAGGTCAGGACTATGTGTTCCTAGCGACTTCTCTTAACCTTTCTGCTCTTTCTTTTTCCATAATTACGCTGCAAATGAAATTGCTGGCTTCAGACCAGTTCTTTGATGATCGAAGCATATAGGTGATTAGTGATCCCAGAGAAAGAGTGGAGTTTGGTGATCTATGTAACACGCGTCTGCGGTCCTGCCAGGCTGGGCAGTGGAAGAGCGTATGGATGTTGTCGTCGCATTCAGAGTCACAATGGTGACAGGATGCAGACGATTCTTTTTTAATACGTGCTAAAAATTTCCCGAAGCATCCGTGTCCGGTAAAAGCTTGTGAGATATAAAAGTTAATTTTACCATGTGAGCGTTTCATCCACTGGTCATAGGAAGAAAGGATTGCATGTCCAAGAGAATTGTCTGGCAGGTTTTGAGCGGTAAGCCTCCTTTTCCACTCGATGTGCATTGTTTCATGAAGATTCGCCTTTAACCGGGTTATTTCATTGCGACGTAAGTTCCTTCGTTTTTTAAGTGTTTCAACCATGTGGTAGGTTTTGGCGGTGAATTCGATCTGAATGTCGATTGGAATGCATCTTGCAAGCAATAGAACTGATAATAGGGCAGCCGTCTTATAGCAGCATGCAATCCTATTTGCCATTTTCTTTTGGACAGCCAGTAGATTCCTACATAAGTTTTTACTGGATAGGACCTCTTGTGACCACACCGGTGCACCGTATAAAATAATGGAGTTAAAGGTGTGTGTATATAAGCGTCGGGTTGATTCTGATGGCCCATTAATATTAGGTAAGATTTTGCTAATGTTATTAATGAAGCCGGCAGCTTTTGGGATAATTTTTTCAATATGCGTGGAAAAAGTGAGCCGTTCATCGAGGAACACTCCTAAATATTTAAATGAATCGACAAAAAATACTTTGGATTTATCTAAGACTATATAGTTTACCGAATCGTTTTTTCTAGCTCGTGCTGGAGTGCTGCACATAACTGCAGTTTTGTGAGCAGCTACCCTAAGACCTAAAGATCTAATACTGTCAATGACATGTTGAGTGGAGGTGGAGGCGATCAGGCGACAACTCTTCCGGTCAGGATGTGAGGTCAAAATCAGGGTATCGTCAGCATATCCTGTGATCTCGGAGTCGTAAGGGAGGCTCAGGTTTAGTGGAATTATGGATCATAGTAGCGTAAAATTTATTTCAACTAATTAAATAAAATAAATAAATAAAATAAATAAAATAGAGTAGAGTAAAAAATATATTTAAAATAAAGGAAATTAAAATAAAATAAAAGTGAGGTAAATAAAATATAATAAGTCAAGAAATAAATAAGAATAAAATAAAAAGAGGGAATTAACTAAGTATAAGATAACAAAGAAAAGGTTGATAAATAAATAAATAAGTAAATAAGTAAATAAATATGTAAATAAGTGTAAATAAACAGATAAATAAATAAATAAGTTAAATAAGTTAGATAGATTAAATAAATTAAATAAATTAGGTGAAACTAATTAACGCTTAACCCTTTGTTGTTGCAGGTTCCTCCACCCTGATGCGGTTACCCTGGATTTTGTTCAACGAGGGGATGGTGGAACGGGTAGGAGCGCTATTTTGACTTTTTTTAAAGTTCTGAAAACTTTGGCAATTTACGGTTCCCATCTTGTGGTCATTTTTAAATTTATTCCGCTCACATAATTTACAGACGGCTTCTGATGCGGAGCACGTACTGGATGGGTGCCCTTGGTTACCACATTTGTAACACCAGTCTATCATGTCGATTTCAGAAGTGCAGTTATTCCGGACGTGTCCGAAATTCCAGCACTTAAAACACTGGATGGGTCTGTTCTCGAGGGGTAAGAATCTGGCAGTGGACCAACCAATCAGCGCAGATTGTTTCGATATTAGTTTGAATGCTGCAGTTTCATCGCATTTGCACCATACTGTGGCTGTTCCCCTCGCATTGGGTCGAACTGGGCCCAATATGAAGCTTTCATTATCTCCACATATGGTGCGTAACGTGTTATTGATTTCTTGATGGGAAGAAGCTAAGTCCAGATTCGTTATGAGAAGTTCTTTGTACTTTTTAGGACAAGAAATGTTAACGTCGCCTGAGGAGAATAGGGAACTGATTTTGTTCATCAGCTTGAGACCCACCTCGCCATCGCCCTTCTTAGGAATTTCGAGGAGTAATCCACCATTCATCGCAGAGCGAGGTTTAAT